ACCGTGATGCTTCCTACAAAGAAACATCTTTGAAAGACTGAAATGCAGAATCTTAACCTGGGAAGGGTCCTTCCGATCCAATCCTTTATCTCAATATTTTCTAAACTGCAGGTCACGACCAGTTAGTGGGTGGTGATACCTGTTTAGTAACCAGCATTTTCTTTTTAAAACTAGAATAGCTGGATGCAATGGCTCACACCTGCAGTCCAGCTACTCTGGAAGCCGAGGGGGGAGGATCACTTGAGACCAGCCTGGGCAACACAGTGAGACCCTGTGTGTTAGTCTGTTTTCACACTGCTGTAAAGAATACTCCCCAAGACTGGGTAATTTATAAAGAAAAGAAGTCAAATTGACTTACAGTTCCCCATGGCTGGGGAGGCCTCAGGAAACTTACAATCATGATGGAAGGGGAAGCAGACCTGTCTTACATGACAGCAGCTGAGAGAGAGAGGGAGAGAAGGGAAATTGCCTTATAAAACCATCCGATCTTGTGAGAACTCAGTATCACAAGAACAACACGGGAGAACTTGCCCTCATGATCCAATCACCTCCCATCAGGTCCTTCCCTTGACACATGGGGATTACAATTCGAGATGAGATTTAGGTGAGGACACAGAGCCAAACCATATCCCCTGTCTCGAAGATAAATAAATATATATATAAACCAATAAATGAAATGGAAGAGACTGTGTTATGTGTAGTAAAGATAAGTATTGCCCACTTCTGTTTTGGATACACACACACACACACACACACACACACACACACACACATGAGAACCAGGTTGCAGTGGAAAATGTATTTCTATATTTTTTACTGTGGGTGAGAGCCAAAAAAGCTTGAGAAGCAATCTAATGTATGAATTCCACTACCAGAAAGGTGCTAACAGTGCCACATTTTAAGTTTTATAAGACAATTTAAAGTTTGCCAAGGGCATCCTGAGTGTTCTTCCTGAAATGCCCACCTGCTGAGCGGTGCTGACTCGCTGAGTCCTCTCATCTAACAACCTGGGAGGTGGTTTTTCCTAATCCCCACTCTGTTGCTTCCAAGCCTAGGCTGCCAGGCTGCACAGTGGTGATTTTAGAAAACTCTCCCGTAACTGCTTCACACTGGAGAGAGATGAGGGTACAGCCATGCCAGTGGCGTTCCCTGAGTTGGCATCGTTAGTAGGCAGTATTTCTCAGGGTCAGGTGGGGAGAGGCATCTAGGGTGGAAACTCTCAGGGTCCTACAGGTGGAGGGCGGGTCCTTTGAGGGAGCCCCTCCTAGGTGCCTCACTGCCTCCCTCCAGTCACTGTCCCGACATTGCCAAGGAACTCTCATTTGTTCCTTCCAAATGCAGGGATAGAGACAAATGGATAGTCTGGCTGGCCGTCCGCAAACCCCTCAGCTGGGATTAATTGGCAATAACAGAGACATGAAAAAAAGATGAGAAGACATTTCCCAAACAGAGACTAAGTCATACCAAAGGGAGGATGGTGAGCCCCACGGCAAACTTCCCTTCGTGCTCGGCTTTCCCTGAGAGCACCTGGCTGGGTCTCTGCCATCTTTTTTTTTTTTTTTTTTTTGAGACAGTTTCCCTCTTGTCGCCCAGGCTGGAGTGCACTGGCGTGATCTTAGCTCGCTGCAACCTCCGCCTCTTGAGTTCAAGCGATTCTTCTACCTCAGCCTCCCGAGTAGCTGGGATTACAGGCGCCTGCCACCACGCCCAGCTAATTTTTGTATTTTTGGTAGAGATGGGGTTTCACTATGTTGGCCAAGTTGGTATCAAACTCCTGTCCTCAGGTGATCCACCCACCTTGGCCTCCCAAAGTGCTGGGATGACAGGCGTGAGCCACCGTGCCCGGCTGGTCTCTGCCATCTTGCCCTGACCTGTGGGGTTTTTCTGCAGTGGGCTCAACATTTTGAAAAATCGATGATTCCTAAAAGTTGCCAGCAGTGAGCAGGTCCACTCACTTTTCTATTGACCATTAACAATACAGAATTGTTTCCAGCAGAGAAATATCAGGCTCCAATAGATAACAAATCAGTTAAAAATCCCAGCCTTTACTCAGAAGTCAGTAGTTTTCCAAGTGTTTGGTCTCAGACCCCTTTGCACACTTAAAATTATTGAGGGCTCCAAAGAGCTTTTGCTCATGTGGGTTACATTGATCAATGTTTACTGTATTAGAAATGGCAACCAAGAAACATATTAATTCATTTTTTAAAAATAAGCCTATTACATGAAGAGTGGCCTTGTTTGACATTTTTGCAAATCTCTTCAATGTCTGGTTTAATAGAAGGCAGCTGAATTCTCAGACATACTCTGGGTCAGGTCGGTTGTGATGTGGCCTGGCAGGAAGTCTCTGGAAAACTCCCATATGCTCATGAGAGAAACAGAATGAAGAGCAAATATCATCTCAGAATTATTTGAAAATAATTTTGATCTCACAGATACCCTTAAAAGGTCTTGGGATCCCCAGGTCCTCAGATCACAGTTTGAGAACAGTGGCCATTGGGTGCATAATTCATTTCTCATCAGTTGTTCACATACCTCCAGCAAGTCAGCAAAGTGGATCATCAAGTTATGTGCTGCTTAGACACTCATTTTAAAACCACCCATATGGCCAGGTGCAGTGGCTCATGCCTGTAATACCAGCACTTCAGGAGGCTGAGGCAGGTGGGTCATTCAAGGTCAGGAGTGTGAGACCAGCCTGGCCAACATGGTGAAACTCGGTCTCTACTAAAAATACAAAAATTAGCAGGGCATGGTGGAGTAGGTCTGTAATTCCAGCTACTAGAGAGGCTGAGGCACGAGAATAGCTTGAACCCGGGATGGGGAGGTTGCAGTGAGCTGAGATCGCGCCACTGTACTCTAGCCTGGGAGACAGCCTAAGACTGTCTCAAAAACAAAACAAACCAACACAAAAATAAAACCACTCATATGAACAAGAACCACATTGCTCACTCTAAAATGAAGTAACAACTACCTTGACAAGGGGGGTGCCAAGACGAGTATGACTTTGACTGGAACATGCACACAGCTCACTGATTTGTTATTAATTAACTTCTTGGCAGGAAGACTGAAGGTATTCATTGGCTCAGAGGAATTTAAACTTTTTGTTTGTTTGTTTGTTTGTTTAAGATAGACTCTTGCTTAATTGCCCAGGCTGGAGAGTGCAGTGGCGTGATCTCGGCTTGCTGCAAGCTCCACCTGCTAAGTTCAAGCAATTCTTGTGCCTCAGCCTCCTGAGTAGCTAGGACTACAGACAAGAGCGAAACTCCATTTCCAAAAAAAAAAAAAAAAAAAAAAAAAGTCACTTTGCTCTGACTCTAGTATCAGAATTGGCTGACTGGGAGGTCCTAGTGGAGTCATTTTAAAGACAAAAATAGAGATTGCTTCCCACCAACATACAGGTAACCCCATCTCTTCACAAACCTCCTGAGGTTTCACCCTTTATTTATGTCCTTCACCAAGATGCTCTTGCCGCTAAGTGGCTCTTGTTAAGTGATGAGGACACAGCCTCCCACTTCAGCTCCTAGGAGGCCTTCCCTTCCTCTGCAGCCCTTTTCCCTGGGCCTTTGAGGTGTTGCTCCCTCTTCCCACCTAGACATGCTAAGAGCTGCTTTAACGACTGCCTCTCTTTGCTCTGAAAATGAGGAAGAATCGGTATTAATGAACTGTGATGTCTCTTTTGAAATACTAAGCAGAGACGTCTGTGGGTAGAATTGCCAAGCAGGAAAACATGGCCTCAGGTACCCTCCTATCTCAGTGCTATCAAATACCCTGCCATCAACAGCAGCTCCAACCTCTGCTCACTCCAAACTCTGTTCCTGAGAGTCTCCCTTCAGAGACCCATGTCCCTGAGCCTCTGTTTGACTCAGGATTTGGTACCTGATACTTGGACTAGTGAAACTTCCTCTCCATCCCCAGCCTCTGGATGTGCTTTTAGGATAATTACATAGGACAATATATGTGAAAATACTTTGGAAGCTGCAAAATTAAATTCTGCCTATGTTTTTTAATTAACATCAGGCAACACCTCATTCTATAAAATAGAGTAAGTTTTCCCTCCACTAGATTCCAGTACGATGGGAAAATTTATAAGTTTAAATACTGGGGATTCGGAAGTAGTCCAGGCATTACAGAAATCCCAGAAATACAGATATTCTATAATAGGTATTGACATTTTTAATGCTTAGTAAGACATATAACTTGTTCTTAAAGGTGTATGAAAGTATCTCTGCATTTGTTTATTTACTGTTCCTATTAGGTAAAGCTGGGGGCCAGGGGTCCTTGGCCATACACACATACACATACACACACACCCAGGCCATATATATATACACACACACACACACACAGAGGCCATATACACACACACATACACACCAGGCCATATCCATAAACACACACACACACAGGCCATACACACACAGGCCACATATATATCTATACACACACACACAGAGGCCATACGCACATACACACACACATCATATGTAAATACACACAGGCCATATATATATCACACGCACGCACACACACATATATATGTATTTTTATTAGAAACAGGGTTCCACTATGTTGCCCAGGCTGGTCTCAAACTCCTGGCCCCAAGTAATCTATCCTCCCCACTTAGCCTCCCCAAGTGCTGAAATTACAGGCATGAGCCATCATACCCAGCTGCCTTGCCTTTTACTAAACAGATCTTCCTCAAAAAGCAGAAACGTGAGCTGGTCTAGACTCAGGCCAGGGAGCAGGGAAGACCACAAATCCACTTGGCCAGTGTCCCCAGATGATACGGGCCAAAGCGAGGGCCCCTGTGCATAGCTCCTTTGATCTGTTTCTCTTTCCTTAAAGTACAGAGGGCTGAGAATTAAAAGAGGTGTTTGCTTTCTCCTTTGCAGTTTTGAGAGAGTTCCCAAATAATGCTATTGCTAAGAATAATATACTTGAAGACAGCTTGTCCCTGCCAGACTAATTTTTCCTGATGGTGTTTCTATTTCACCTCTTCCCAGGTTTATCTTCCAACGTGGTCCCCATGTACTTAGGGGAGCTGGCCCCTAAAAACCTGCGGGGGGCTCTCGGGGTGGTGCCCCAGCTCTTCATCACTGTTGGCATCCTTGTGGCCCAGATCTTTGGTCTTCGGAATCTCCTTGCAAACGTAGATGGTGAGTTCAGGACATCTCGGGACCACCCCCACCCCTTCACCACCACCCTTGGCCCCCTCCTTGTGTTCCAAAGCTACCACCCCAGGACAGGACTTTCTGCAGACTGGTCTCTTGTCAACAGGCTGGATGTCCTTGGGGGGCCCATGCTGTCCTGAGTCCACACAGCAGGCCCTGGACAAAGGGGCAATGACGGACTGGCCGGTGTTTACTGTCTAGTCCCTCTTAGGAGATGGATGAGGTGGCTTTGAGTAATTGGCTTCTCTGCCTGCTCAGCGGCTGTCCATATGGAGGCCCGTGGCATAGCAATGACAGCCACCAGTGTGCCAGGCTCTGTGCTTGGGGCGGCCCCAGCATCAGTTCATAGGACCCTCCCAGCAACACTGCTGCCTGGGGCTCGGTGATTATCCCATTTTGCAGACCAGAAAGAGAAGTAGCAGGAGTCAGGGTGGCCTGGCCCCATGGGGGAGGTGGTGAGGACATCCCAGACCCTACCTCCACCCTCCCCAAGACAGCCCGGGGCCTGGCCTGTGGCAGGTGCACAGACACCTGTAACCAGGGTTGTTTTTGCATGACTTTCCCTTTAAACTATCATCAGTCATCCCATCAGTCAAAACGTAAGCCAGTTCCTGCCAGGGTTCCACACACTGCCTGCAAGTCAGTCAAGTGGATCATCAAGCTCTGTGCTGCTTAGACACTCTCTGTAGAAAGTGCTTCTCATGGGCCAAGTGCCAAGTCTCTTTTAGTAACGCATGTGTTCCTCAGAACAGCCCTATGAGGCCTGTACCAGTATCATAGCCACTGTACAGGTGCATCACAGGCACAGAGAGATTGGAAAACTGGTCCAAGGTCTCATGAGGATGCAAGCCCAGCGGCACAGACCTAGGTCCCTGTTTAAGTACCACGTGCTCCGGCCTCTCCTTCACTCCTGCATGTGTTGGGGACACTTACGCCAAGGTGCCACATTCTCGTCAGGAGCTGGGACCAGAAGTGAATAAGCCGGGTTCCTGTCTCAGGGAGCTCCAGAGCCGGACACAGAACCACACACGGCGCTCTAGGCATTTGTGAAGCTCTGGGCTTCGTTGTTTTGCTTTGCCTCTAGTTTCGCCTTTGGCAGTGGCAGGGTTAATATTACCATTTCCGAATTTTCTGTAAGGGCCTCACAGTGTGTGGCCCTTACAACCCTCAACACATGGTCTGGGAGATGCGTCCACGCTGAGGCTTGCTCCGTGTTCACTGCAGTACCAAATTCCACTCCTGAGTGCGGCCAGCCCATGTGTCCCCTCTACGTAGAATGTTAAGGACATTCCCACTGTTTCCGGTGTCCTTTCTATAATCAGAGCTGCCTTGACCATTCCAGTTCAGGCATCCTGGTGGCCTGGCTTCTCTGGACATAGAGCTGGGAGTGGGCAGCTGGGTCAGGCCAGGTGTGCCCAGTTCCTCCAGCCCCTGCGAGACTGTCGTCTGAAGGACACGGGGACATTCTCGCCAGCACTTGGTATTGCCGGCCTCGTCGGTGTGGTCCGTCTGATGCGCTCGGGGGTGCGTCCCTGCTGAGCCCTGCTGCAGGTGTTTCCCGAGTGTCCACCGTCGGGAATTGCTGTTCTTAGGGCTAGGAAGGCTGTGGCCTCCTGGAGGCTGCGCCCCACTCAGGATGACGGCGCTGGGGCCGGCTCTGCAGAGGGCGCCTTCAGGGTGGTGGGGAGGCCGCTGGTGCCAGCTCGCTGCCTTCTTCCCAGGCTGGCCAATCCTGCTGGGGCTGACCGGGGTCCCCGCGGCGTTGCAGCTCCTTCTGCTGCCCTTCTTCCCCGAGAGCCCCAGGTACCTGCTGATTCAGAAGAAAGACGAAGAGGCCGCCAAGAAAGGTAACGAGCGCTCGGACGGGGGCGGCCTCCAGGCTCTGTCCCCCAGCCGTGGTTCGACGGTGCTGCTTCTCCCCAGCCCTACAGACGCTGCGCGGCTGGGACTCCGTGGACAGGGAGGTGGCGGAGATCCGGCAGGAGGACGAGGCAGAGAAGGCCGCGGGCTTCATCTCGGTGCTGAAGCTGTTCCGGATGCGCTCGCTGCGCTGGCAGCTGCTGTCCGTCATCGTCCTCATGGCCGGCCAGCAGCTGTCGGGCGTCAACGCTGTATGGGCCGGGCTGCGGGAGGACTCGCGGGGCGCGGGGCGCAGGTCCTGGGGCGCCGGGCGTGGGTCCCGGCGCCGAGGCCGCCTCCTCCGGGCAGCCGCCCAGCCCCACGCTTGCTTTGCAGATCTACTACTACGCGGACCAGATCTACCTGAGCGCCGGCGTGCAGGAGGACCACGTGCAGTACGTGACGGCCGGCACCGGGGCCGTGAACGTGGTCATGACCATCTGCGCCGTGAGTGTCCTGGGAGTGGCCCGCAGCCTCCACCCAAGGCCCCTGGGGCCCCCACGCCCCAGCCTCGGCGCCGCCAAGAAGGCAGCCGGTGGCCCCAAAACGTGGAGGCCCAGCCCCTACTACGGAAACTCCGCGTGGGAGGTGGCCCCGCACCGGCCCCTCACACTTGGGGCTGCCGAGCCGTACGGGACCCAGGGACACCACCTGACGGGGATGTAGGGGCGCCTGGACCGGGCAGCACCCACTGCTAGGTGGCTCCAAGCCCAGGGTACCCGGAGTGAGGCTCGGCCACCTGGGGATGGGAGCAGGCTCCGTGGGGGCAGCGTCTCCGTTGCATGCAGACATCTGGCCTCCAGAGGGCAGGAATCCTGAGGCTCAGGGTTGTGGGATTAGGAGGTCCTAGAGCTGAGTCTCAAGGGTGGGCAGCTAGGGTCCCGCATCACAGCCACAGCTGACTTCCCGCTGGCTGCCCAAGGGCATGTCTTGCACATGTGAGTGTGAGTGTGCGAGCACACAGGTGGGCACCCGGTCCGCCCAGCTCTCCTCATAGCTGCCCCATTGGAGGGGGCTGGCGGGAGTGAAGCTGGGCCTCCCCCAAGCCCTGCCACCCTCCTGTAGGTGTTCGTGGTGGAGCTCCTGGGTCGGAGGCTGCTGCTGCTACTGGGCTTCTCCATCTGCCTCACAGCCTGCTGCGTGCTCACTGCAGCCCTGGCACTACAGGTGAGGACGGGCCAGGGTCCCAGGAGCCTGGAGTTGTACCAGGAAGACCAGTGCCCCTCCCACCCTGCGCCTCCACCTGCCTTAAAAGGAAAAGGGGTCACAATGAGCTGTTTTAGCAAATACCACCGGCCAGACATCTGGGGACCACGTGTCCTGCCAGCTCATAGCCCACGTTCAGCTGATTTCCCAGTGGCTCATTGAGGTGGCACTGCTGGGGGAGGAGCCAGGTGCCATCCTCCACCACCAGGGCAGGTTGGCGGCCCCCTGGGGTCCCGTCCTAGCTTATCTGCTCCAGGTGAACCAACTGCTTTCTCTCCACAGGACACGGTGTCCTGGATGCCATACGTCAGCATCGTCTGTGTTATCGCCTACGTCATAGGACACGCCCTTGGGCCCAGTACGTACCCAAAGCTGGCCTCAGGGTGTCACAACCCCCTCCGGTCCCAGAAGCTCCTGGCTGTAGCTCCTTAGAGACACCAGGTCTAGCCAATGCAGCCCGGAAATGGCATCTCTTCCCCTGCCCACCGCAAGGGGGTGGGTGGCACATAATGAAAGTGAAATGGTAAAATGGTGGTGTGGGTAGGAACACATAGACTGTGCAGGCAGCAGAGTGGGCCTCACGGGTGGTTGCTGGCCTGCCGTCCGTGTACACTGCCATTTACCTACGTGCTGCCCCACATGGCCAAGAGTCCTAGAGACACTGCTGCCCCGGGGCCAGCTACCTGATGGGTCTGCATGGCCAGGCCTGGGATACTCGGGCCCACTCTGCCTTCAGGGAGGCTGCTCTCCTTCTCCTACAGGTCCCATACCCGCGCTGCTCATCACTGAGATCTTCCTGCAGTCCTCTCGGCCATCCGCCTTCATGGTGGGGGGCAGCGTGCACTGGCTCTCCAACTTCACCGTGGGCTTGATCTTCCCATTCATTCAGGTGAACGGGGCCCGGGGCCCACACTCAGCAGATCCCCATGCAGTAGAGTGCGAGCTCGTGGGCAAACCGCGTCCCACACATGTCACCTGCCTCTCTTCCTGCAGGAGGGCCTTGGCCCGTACAGCTTCATTGTCTTCGCTGTGATCTGCCTCCTCACCACCATCTACATCTTCTTGATTGTCCCTGAGACCAAGGCCAAGACGTTCATAGAGATCAACCAGATTTTCACCAAGATGAATAAGGTGTCTGAAGTACACCCGGAAAAGGAGGAACTGAAAGAGCTTCCACCTGTCACTTCGGAACAGTGACTCCGGAGAGGAAGCCAGTGGAGCGGGTCTGCCAGGGGCTTCCCCCTTTGGCTTATTTTTCTGACTTCTAGCTGTCTGTGAATATCCAGAAATAAAATGACTCTGATGTGGAATGCAGTCCTCATCTCCAGCCTCCCACCCCAGTGGGAACTGTGCAAAGCTGGGCTGTCTCTCTCCAGGTTGGCCTGTCACCAGCCCCGAGTCAAGCAAACAGCTGGTTCTCCACTTTACTGTGTCAACCTTTGTGTGGCTCCTGGTAACATGGCTCCACCTTGCTGGGTCAGCCTTTGTGTGGCTCCTGGTAACATAACAAAAGCAGTTACTATAGTGGCGAGATGGAAGGAATCAAATTTTGCCAGAGAAACTAACTCAGTGGCCCCGACAGGTCTTCCGGGGCCATGGGCATTTGTTTAGAGCCAAATTCATCCTCTTACCAGATCCTTTTCCAGAAATACCTGTCTAGGAAGGTGTAATGCAGAAACAATGACATCCAGAAAGCTGAGGAAGAGGTTCCTGTGGAGACACTGAGTCAGAATTCTTCATCCTAAATTATATTGTTAGTGGAAAATGGAATTGCTTCTGTGTAGTCAATAAAATGAATCTGATCACTTTTCAACAAGATGTGCTGTTGTTCTGTGAGCAAGTGGAAGGCAGGAGGAAGTTCCCTGTTACTTCAGGCAGGTTTTTTTTTCTGTTCTTGCTTTTTTTTTTTTTTTTTTTGAGACAGAGTCTTGCTCTGTCACCCAGACTGGAGTGCAGTGGTGCAATCTTGGCTCACTGCAAGCTCCACCTCCTGGGTTCACACCATTCTCCTGCCTCAGCCTCCTGAGTAGCTGGGACTACAGGCGCCTGCCACCACGCCTGGCTAATTTTAGTATTATTAGTAGAGACTGGATTTCACCATGTTGGCCAGGATGGTCTCATGATCCACCCACCTTAGCCTCCCAAAGTGCTGGGATTACCGGCGTGAGCCACTACGCCCAGCTACTTCAGGCAGTTTGACTGCACGAGTGTCAGTTCCTTGAGGTCAGGGGCTTGGTCGGTTTTGTTTATGCCTGCATCCCCAGCATCTAGAAGAGGGCCTCTGGAGACTGAGGTGGGAGGATTGCTTAACCCTGGGAGGTAGAGGTTGCAGTGAGCTGAAATTGCACCCTATACTCCAGCCTGGGCAACACAGTAAGATCCCATCTCAAAATTTTATTTTAGTTAACTGGGCATGGTGACACGCCTTTGTGGTCCCAGCTATTTGGGAGGCTGAAATGGGAGGATCACTTGAGCCTGGGAGGTCAAGGCTGCCCTGAGTCATGATCACATCACTGCACTCCAGCCTGCATGACAGAATGAGAACTTGTCTCAAATAAATAAATAAATGTAAGATTGAGGAAGCTTCCAAATGTCCTCAGGTATGTAGTGAAATCTTGAAGTGTCTTAAAATCTTGAGACTGTGGTGGGGGAGGAAGGGAGGAGTGGGGTCTTGATATGGTTTGGCTGTGTCCCCACCCAAATCTCATCTTGAACTGTAGCTCCCATAATTCCCATGTGTTCTGGGAGGGACCCTGTGGGAGATAATTGAATCATGGGGGCAGTTTCCCCCATACTGTTCTCATGGTAGTGGATCAGCCTCATGAGATCTGATGGTTCTATAAAGGGAAACACCTTTTGCTTGGTTCTCATTCTCTCTTGCCTGCTACCATGTAAGACATGCCTTTTGCTTTCTGGCATGATTGTGAGGCCTCCCCAGCCATGTGGAATGGTGAGTCTATTAAATCTCTTTTTCTTTACAATTTACCCAGTCTCTGATATATCTTTATCAGCAGCATGAAAATGGACTAACACAGGTCTCTCCACAAAAATATAGAGAGCTGGAGGCGTTTCTTAGAAATATGAATAAAGGGTATGAGTGTGAGTGTGTGTACGTGCAAAAATATGGATAAAACCTTGAAAGGAAAGTGCTGAATGGCCTGTGGCAAGAAGTGATGTCTTCTCCTTGTAGTTGGGTGGCACAGGGTGGTGGCCAGGAGAGACATCAGTGGGACTTGGGAGCACCTTTTGTGGGTATGGAATGGAGATTCCACCAGCAACAAGCTAAACCACTCACAAGCAGGCCCAGAGGAAGTAAATAGAACACTGTGGTTGAACCATCCTTGGCCTTCTGCGGCAAGGATCTGCAGGCTGGAAGAGGCACAGAAACAATCAAAGATGAAGGCTCTCAGAACTGAGGAGAGGCCAGGTTAGAATATCAGAAGTCAAGAAACTGCAGCACCTCTAACACAGGGGAGGCTATGAAGTTCATGGTTCTGGATGTCTGCTCCCTGGGTTCAAACCTTGGTTCTGCCACATTAATTGTGCAACTTGGTAAAGTTACTTATCTTTTCTGTATCTCAGTTTTCTCTTCTGTTAAATGGCACTAATAATAAATGTCTCACATGTCCATTGTGAGAATTAAATGACTTTATATGTTTATGGTGTTTGGATCAGTGGCATGTATTTAGTTTTCTTAAGTACTTTTAAGTGCTTGGGAATAAGCATTAATCTTGAAGACAAATAAACTCACAAATAAGATATAGTGAGAGACCACTATGCATGTATACTAGGATTGAGCAATCCAGTAAATGGACGGCAGATGGTGGGGCCATTTCACAGTTGCAGTGGGAGGTTACAGATAAGCAGGGAGAGAGCACGAATGACCCATGTGGTAGTAGATCATTCTCTACTCCAAGTAGACTTGGAGACTCACATGCAGTTTAATATAGATTCAGGCTACATATACAAATATTTACAGATAAGCATCTACACATGGGTTAGTAAAATACAGCAGGAGGAGAGATGTGGGAATATAGAAGGGAGGTGAGGAATTTGCAAAGACAAGTACGATTTCTCTAGTTGGAGAAGATATGATAGGAAGGTGAGGAATGGGCATTCCAGGCAGCAGACAGCACAGAGAGGTGTGGAGGCATTGAGGGATGCTGCAAGTTATTTGGTCTGAAAGTGAAGCCAGAGAGGTGGCAAGGGGTGCAGGGTGGGAGCAGCTATAGTGGATCCTGTGAGTTCCAGGAGCCAAGTTGAACTTCATTGTCAAGACAACCTGGGGTTACGTGATGACCGAGCTTCCAGGAGCACCTGGCATTAATGCGAAGGGGTGGGGCTCAGATAGGGAGACCAGTTGGTAAATAATGAAGGCCCAGCAAAGCCAGCAGTAGTCAGGGACGAATGTGAGGGAGCATTCAGAGAGTCAGTAGGATTTGGGGTCCACTCAGCCCTCAGCAGTGAGTAGTCGGGCGTCCCTGCCAGGTTTCTAATATGGGCCAATGGGGAATGGCTGGAAGAGCTGGGTGGCAGGTTATAGGAGAAGGTCATATATACGTTTTGGACATGTTGAGATGGAGGAGATCATGGAACACACAGAAGATACCTAGAAGGAAGGTGGCATGTGGCTCTGGAGCTCAGGGGAGCAGGGACACAGGTTTGGGGAAACCATATATCTGTTAGCACCTACGGTGTGCCAGGCACAGCTCCAGGCCCTGGGACCAGGGTCCTGAGTGAGAGGTGCAGTGAAGAAAAGTAGATTAGCCCAAGGGGTGACAGGTGAAGGAGCAGCTGAACAGAAAGAGGAGTGGGGCTGGCTGGGGGGCAGCAGATGCAAACGTCTTGTGGGAGAGGGTTGGCCATGGTTCAGGGAATGACGGGAGGCAAGTGATGCTGGGGCAGAAAGGGGATTGGGGAAGAGGAAGGGGGCACTGCGCAGACACTCAGTAGGCCCTCAGGAGCATCAGAGATTCTATTCTGAATGTGTCGGGAGGCCACTGTCTCACTTGAGCCAGAGAGTATCCTGATCTGATTTGCAATTTAAGAAATCATTCCAGCTGCTCCAGAAAAGAGTCTGAAGGAGCCCAGGAGACAGCAAGGAAATCAGATCCTTACAAAAGATCTGAGAATAGGTTAAAGCCTCATGTTTGTATAAGATTGACCCAGGTTTGCCAACCGAGAGGATGAAAGGCGGGAGGTGGGCTGGGTGTGCTGGCTCATGCCCGAATCTCGGTACTTAGGGAGGTTGAGGTGGGAGGATTGCTTGAGGCCACGAGTTGGAGACCAGCCTGGGCAACATAGTGAGACACCCTCGCCCCCCACCATCTCCACAAAAAGTGAAAATAAGAATAATTAACTGAATGTGGTGATGCACACCTGTAGTCCCAGCAACACGGGTGTCTGAGGCAGGAGGATTGCTTGTGCCTAGAAGTCATGATCATACCAGTGTACTTCAGCCTGGGCAACAGAGCAAGACCTTGTCTGTAATAAATAAATAAATGAATAACTGTTTTTTAAGGTGGGAGATGGAGCACCATCCAACAAGGGGTACAGGAAAGCCAGCAGAGAGGACTGAGCTGCCCAGCTCTGCCATTTGCTGAGACCAGAAAAAGAGTCCTCCTTGGATTCAATGACTCAGTGACCTCAGGGAGTGCTGGCAGGGGTAGTGTGGGGGCAGAAGGTAGACTGCTAGGGTGAAGACTGCAACTGAGGTGGAAAAGAAAGAATGGGAGCTCTAGTTATTGTTCACTCTTCCTTCTTCCCTTTGCTATTCCTGCTTGAGTGGGTGTTATATCACTCACAGAACACACACACCTATATAACATAAAAAAGAAGTAGACATAGGCTGGGCGCGGTGGCTCACGCTTGTAATCCCAGCACTTTGGGAAGCCGAGACAGATGGATCACGAGGTCAGGAGATCGAGACCATCCTGGCTAACGAGGCAAAGCCCTGTTAGCCAGGCGTGGTGGCGGGCACCTGTAGTCCCAGCTACTAGGGAGGCTGAGGCAGGAGAATGGAGTGAACCCGGGAGGTGGAGCTTGCAGTGAGCTGAGATGGCGCCACTGCACTCCAGCCTGGGCGACACAGCGAGACTTTGTCTCAAAAAAAAAAAAAAAAATTAAAACAAAAATAAATAAGTAGACATATATTGGAGGTTTGTAGGCAACATTTTCTTACTGATGGGGAGGCATGATTTTAAAAGTTTGGAGACTACTGGGGGCCAAGCTGCCTGCAAAGATCAGTGAAAGCTGAGAAATGATGCTTTGGGAGAATGAGACCATGTCAGGTGATTGTGATGGCAGCAGCCACTCCAGACGGCCTGTCGCTGCCATCACACCAGCGGCAGCAGGGAGGTGCAGCCCATGGAGCAAGCAGGAGCTCCCCGGGTGCTGCTGCAGCCACCCAAACTATAGCTGTAGACCCTAACCTTCTGCTCCATGGAGCAGGCAGGAGGCACCCCTGACCCCACCTCCCAGAGCACTGCAGCTGCCCAAACTGTGGCTACAGACTCAGGCATCCCCGCACTCTTGGGGACCCAGAAAGACCCCCCCACCCTCACAGGCTTGGAAGTTCCTGCTTCTGCTGCCTGGCTTCTCCCTGCTGTCAGCGCTCACTTTGATCTCGGAGGCACTGCCAGGACTGCATGCTCCAGAGCCAGCAGGAGCTAGGGACAAGTAGGAGCCCCGCCCCTTCTGAGTTCACGGGGCTGGGAGCTCCCCAGGGGCAGCTGCAGCCGCCACCTGCCCCCCTGGCCAGTTGCAGGCCCTGAGTGTCTCTGCATTCTGCACCTCCAGGGGCCCAGCAAGGCCTTCCCACCCCTCGCCTCTGTCCCCAGAGGTTCGGGGGTGTCTGCTCCCACTGCCTGGCTTCTCTCCACTCCTGGCACCCACTCCAATCTCAGAGATGGGTTGGGCTGAGCCTGGGCACTGTCACAGCTCAGCTGGGTGTGCACACAACCTGGGAAGTGCCGACATGCCAGTCCCCTCCTGCCTTGGCCTCCTCTGGAATTTGGGCACTGATGAGTGTAAGAGGGGAAGCTTAAGGGGGGCTGAGGGTGGCTCAGTGTTGTCCTACAGGTGCCCCTTACTGCAAGCAACATGGGCACCACAGATGGCTGTGGGAGGCAGACAGGTTCCTGAGTGGAAGTGGATGGGTCCCTGTAAGAGCCCACCTTCAGGCCAGGGAAGGCCTAAAAGCTGGGGGCTGGGCTGCCAGTCCTGTGGACTGGACTGGGGACTTGTGATGCCATTTCTGGGCCCATTTATGGCCCCCCATGGACCAATCGGCATGTACTTCCTCCCCTCTGAGGTCCATAAAAGCCCCAGGCTCAGCCAGAACAGGGCAGAGGATGGAGAGACAACAGGATGACCAACTGCAAAGAGGAGCTACCCCCTCCAGGGCCTCCTCTCTACTGAGAGCTGAACACTTGATGGGATAATGTGCCTACAGAAGGGAGCTACCTACTGTGGGTCTCCTCTGACCTGCTCTAACACTCAATAAAGCTTTTCTTCATCTTGTTCACCCTCCACTTGTCTGCATACCTCCTTCTTCCTGGATGCAGGACAAGAACTCAGGCAAAGGCACCACTGGCCACAGAGGTTTCTGGCCAGAAAATCGACACTTCAAAGATCAGATAACAATGCTAAGTCCCTAGGATGGGATCAAGGTCAGGACACTTGGGAGGTGAGAGATGGAGGTGAAGACAGTTCAGCTGAAGAGGGTTCAGATCTGTTTGCTCACCACTGTGTCCACCGTGCCTGGAATAGTGACTGGCACAGAGTAGGGGTTCATTCAGGGTTTTTGAATGGATGAGTCTTAGTAAGGAGGATTTTAAATGGTTGACAACAAAGCAAGAAAGAGTGAATCTGGGGAGGAGTTGTCAGTCCCCAGGTGACATATTCATAACCCAAATTAGGCAGTTGGAAGGTAGGTTTGACCAGCGTTTTTCACACTTCCAGATGTCACGTACCAAAATTTGGTAGACTAACATTGGGCTGCCTCTATTTTGCAAATAAAAACATTTTTTAAAAAGGCCAGGTGCAGTGGCTCATGCCTATAATCCCAGCAGGATTGCTTGAGCCCAAGAATTTGAGACCAGCCTGAGCAACAAAGTGAGACACTGTCTCCAATTAGTGTGTGTATATATATATATAATATATATATATATAAAATTTTTTTTTAAATGAACTCCCATCAACAATCAAAATGAGGAAACAATGTTTTAAAAGAAAGGGCATTTTACTATCTAGACAGGATGTAATCATGGAAAAAATTTCAGTCTTTTAAATTGAATAGATTTTTCTTTGTGAAAATCTCACTCCATTGCCCTGTGTCCTGGTATTGCTCAGTGGCTTAACCACCAGGACAGAAACATCAGAAACAAGGGCAGGGCAGTGGGTGGCACACTAGCCATTTCCATTACAGAAGGGCTCTCAGAAAGGAGAGCTGAAGTTCCAACCTGGCACGTTAGTTAGACTGAGTCTTGTCCCCTTCAATCTGCTTTCTCGAGGGCTGTTTTTTAGTTCCTGCAGGAAGAATGAGAAAGCAGGTAGTTGGGATCCTGACACTCTCATCTGAACCTTTCCTTTTCCCCTCCTACTACTCTGCAGTGAATTGGGTGCTTTTTTCCCCCTTTCTTATGTG